TGTAGTCAGAATCCATGTTTTGTGGGCCCTTAATACAGCAAAATTGAATGACGGCAAAACGTCCGTCCTTCCGCCCGTCCCGTGCGTTCGTTTGTCCGTCCGCCCGTCCCACTGCCCGTCCAGCCGGCCGGCCGGCCGTCAGTCTGTCCGTCCGTCCCTCCGTCCGTCCCTCCGTCCGTCCCTCCGTCCGTCCCTCCGTCCGTCCCTCCGTCCGTCCCTCCGTCAGTCTGTGAACAACGCTAGCAGCTAAATTCAGTCGAATTGATATTCCCGAATCGATCTGACTAATCTCCAAGCCCCTTGAATTTGAAACTGATATTTTAATTTTGGGGGTTCTTTACATGAAGCCCCTGGGACATTTTCAATATTTTAAAAAAATGGCTCCATCGTTTTTTATTAAATTTTAATGGATAGCGCGAAGAACGTTTAAGAAAATGGTGAAAGTATTATGTTCGTTAAAAATTCGAGTTTTCGAAAATTGCAAAATTTTTAAATTATGCGGCGTCTTCCTACAACTACAGTTATTAAGATAGATATTTGTTCTTTAATGAAATTTGTTCTTTAAATATGGATTTTGAAATAAGGTCATGTACATTTGTTCGAAATCTAGAGATTTTTTCGTGTAATTTTGCGTGAATGTACGGGCAAGAAAATACGTGCTGTTTTGGTACCACTACATACTTTGGATATTAAGGAGCAACAAATCGTAAGTTTCGACTATATCATGTATGCATACCGAAAGTAATATAGTACATTTAGGAGTAAAAATCCCGCATTTTAAGGTGCCGATGGCCGGGGTTAGGTACTGCGAGGGCCCCAAGCCCAAAATCGAATTGAGTCCCTTCCGAAAAAATCGTTAATTTTAAATATACATATTTTATAGTTCTTTGAGCACGAAGGTCGTTATAAGCGCGACAAAAGGCCTCGGACCAAAAGCACTCGGCCCTTTTCTTGTCACACTTTTATTCTAAACAGTTAGCGCCCGTGGTACATATATATATATATATATATATATATATATATATATGCATATTCCCTCGTAGTGCCGATTCACAAGGGAGGCGACAGAAGGATTGTTAACAATTACAGGCCTATAAGTTTGACATCAGTCGTATGCAAACAGATGGAACACATAATCGCGGAGTATATTAGACGAGTTTGGATTAAAACTGATTGGTTATTTCAAAATCAACACGGTTTTCGTCCTGGGTATTCGTGCGACAGCTAGACAATTGCTTTTTGTCAGGATATAGCAGATTCGTTAGACGAAGGGAGTAGGGTCGACGCAATAATATTAGATTTTTCTAAGGCATTTCATCTTGTTCCACAAGATCTTTTAATTGCCAAATTGTCAGAAACGGGAATAGATCATCGAATAATGCTGTGGATAAAAGAATTTCCTACGGGGCGCAATCAAACAGTCAGAATAGGAGACAAATATTCATCGAAAGCCGATGTAACCTGATTAAAATCAAAAGTTAGACTTATCGCCGATGATTGCATAATATATAGGAGTATTGGCTCGTCTGGGGACGAAAATGTTTTACAGAACGATCTTTACTGTTTATGGAACTGGGCGTGCAGAAATAAGACGGAAATCCGGAAAAGAGTAAATTCATTTGCTTTACCAAGTCTCGCTCGAACGTACGCTCCAGTTATGAAT